GCGGCCTCCGCCAGCTCCCCCAGCCGTTCAAGGCGGCAGAGGCTCCTCCAGGCCAGGAGGCCACACACAGGGCTTCGTGCTTACCCGCTCCTGTTTCTCCTTCTCTTTCTCCAGGCGGTACAGCTGCCACTGCTCTGCCACGTACTCCATGAACTGCTGCCCCTTCACCAGGAAGGTCCCCTCGCACTCCTGCTCCCAGGCCTGGACCCTGCTCTCCAGCTCCTCCTGCAGCTGATGAGGACACAAGGGCAGAGTAGAGGGGCTGCCCTCCCGAACCTGGGCATCTCCATGCCCAGAGACAGCCCTTGCTGGCCCTAACTGCTGCGCTTCTCCTCGGCCAGCGCTACGCAGGCCTGTCTGGGACTATGGCTTCTTCTCCAGGGCTGAACCTACCTTGGAAAGGGTCTTCTGCAGCTTTGCTCGCTGCTTCTCTTCTTTCAGCAGATTCCCCCCACGGTTGGCGAAGCGACTGGGGTCAGTTGCTTTCCTCTGGTACAGAAGGGAGGTCAGGAGAGAACCAAAGCACCCTGCCCAGCCTCGCAGCCCAGCATACACCCCACAGGACACAGATGCTGGAGGAAGCCACCCCTGCCGCGCAGCCCCCCATCACGGGCCATACCAGTGCTCTAGATACAGCACCCCATCCCCTCGTCAACCCACTGAGGCTTCCTAGTGCCTCCTGGCCTTGCCCAACAGCACTCTGCACGTGGGAGCGGAGGCGTGCGCTGCCCGGTGACCTAGCGCTGAGCCAGGCAGAGCACGTTCCTGCCCGGACAATACCTCCAGCTCCAGGAACAGCTTCCAGTTCTCTTCCCATTTCTGGACAGCCTCAAACAGATCTTTGTGTGTTTCATAGTAGCTCTTCATCTTCACCACCTCAGCATCGTGGAGCTCGAGCAGGGTCTCCGTATAGTCCTCTGGAGAGGATACAACAGCAGGTTCAGGAAGCAACTGGGATCCCCACACCCTTGAGAGCCGAGGGCAGCCCTTCTCGGCAGCCGGCCTGCCAGCAGGCAGCCTACAGCTCCCACAGGGGAGTCAGCGAGTGGAAGAACCAGCACCCACCATCGTAATAAGGGCTGAAGCTCTCCCTCTGCTCCTGACTGTAGAAGCATTTGTCCCAGTAGTCAGCCAGCTCTGCCCGGATTGCCTGAATCACAGATTTCATGTTCTGCAGCTTCAGCTCCTCCAGATGGTCCACTTCCAACTGCAGCTGCCAACAAGATCAGAGCACAGATTCAGAGAAGTCAGCGTGAGAAACAGAGCAGAACAGGATTTATCTTCTGCATAAGCCACTTTCCAAGATGAGGCAGTCACCAGCACCAACTCCCAGCTCCTCCACCCGCGAGGGCAGGTTTGGCCTGCTCACCTCACACCTGTCTGCTGCAAGCAGCTCCCCCACTCCGGCTGAGCAAACAGGAGTGTGAAACCCCGAGCTGCTGCCCCCCAGCCCCCGCAAGGGCACAGGGTGGTCCTTACAGCTTTCCTGGTTTTGGCTCTGGACCCAGCCACGTGCACCGCAGAAGACTCTCTCTCCTCCACAGGAACCTGCAGCCTTTCCCAAAGCGCAACGATTCTGGAGCGCAGCTCCGTGCACACAGCTTCGTTCAGGGATCGCCGGGCTTCCAGCTACAGGAGGGAAGGCACAGGGTCAGCACCAGCGAGGGCACGCGCAGGCCGCGTGCTCTACTGCGGCTAGCAAAGCCACTCGCTCGTCTTCCAAGATCTCCTTGCAAAAGCCCCCGAAAGGATGCTCTAACGCTCGGGCTTGCTGAAAACCCAGCAGTGGCTCTTTACATCGCAGTGCCAGCTGCTGCCAGGACCCATCAACAGCCTCCACAGCAAGCAACGCTGCCTCGGTGCGCCAACGTACCTGCTGCAGCAGGTTCTGGAGGGCAGCGATGTTGTCCGTGGACAAACAGAAGGCTTCCTCGTCCTCGCACACCACATCCCGCTCAAAGCTTGTGTCTGGAGTGTGGTCCAGCTCCTCCATGAGCAGGATGATTTGCCGCTTGCTGCTGACAAACTCTTCTCGCCTTTGCTCCTGGAGGTGACGACCGGCATTAGAAACTAGCGAGCACCTTGCGTGCCGGCCTCGGCGAGATCCTTGCCCCCTCTCCGCTTACCTTCTCGGCGGTCAGGGAGGCCAAGTGGCGCCGGTAACGGTCCAGGTCCTCCAGGCTGGGCACGGCGTTGCTGTCGATGCAGAATGGGGCTGTGCAGAGGATGTCGCACAAGTCTCGATCTTGTTCTTGCAGGGTTTTCAGCTCCTGCTTCCTGTCCCTTTTCTGCTTTAACATCACTTCCACGCGGGTGCGCAAATTCTTCTCCATCTGCAGAATGGTGCTTTCTTCCTCTACCTAGAAGAGTCCAGAAATCAGCTCTCCTCCACAAGTCTCGCAGACCTGACTCACGTCTTTAAGGCTTCTTAAACGAAGCGCTGGGACGCAAGCCCTAGTTCTGAGCAAGGTGTTTCCCAGGAAGGTGCAAATGCAGCAGCAACACACCAAATGAGATGCTGCAAGGCACCCGGCCCCCTCGCTACCATCTCCCAGCATCCGACCTGTGAGGAGCCACAAAGCCTTCGCCTCTACCAAGTGCCAGGAAGAGTGGTTTTGAACAGGCGCTGCCTTGCGAGCTCCAGCCTCACTGAGACACCCGGGCAGAGGCCGGGCGGCAGAAGACTGTTGCCAACAGGATCCTAGGAGTGAAAAGCAATGCCTTACCTCAAAGGGGTCCAGCTGGAGCTCCCTGCAGAGGGTATCCAGCTCCTTCCGACATAAGGCAATGCTCTTCAAGAGGCGCTCCTTCAGGCTCTCCTCCTCCGCGACCATCATGTCCAGGAGGCTCTGCAGCACAGGCGTGGGGAGAGAGGCAGGGGGAAGCCGCGGGGGCGGAGAGCGGGCAGGCCGGTGGGGCCACAGCCAGAGAGCTGCCCCGGGGGCCAGGCGAGGGACGGGCCGGAGGCAGGGGCAGGCGGCGCGGGTGCCCGGCGGGAGTGGGCA